ATCCAGACACTTGCAAATCAACTGGATCTGGTACAGATCTAAGCTTGCCAAAATTGTTCGCATAGTTAGTATTCGGGTTGCTGTCATAACTTAATTTATATGGCTGGATGATAGTTAAGCAGTCTTTACACAGCAGTGCCAAATACTCTGAAGAAGTGCAGACAGCTGAACTTCTTTGGGACTTTCCTATTTGCAATGGCCTGCACAGTATTCTTGCTTGACATGGTTTTAGAGTAAACTAAGGTATAATCAATATCCAGAGTGGTATGAGAACATAGAAACATTTCAAAGAGGAACTGTATTATTGCCATCAGTGTTTGAATATATCACAGTGTAATCTAGTAAAATAAGTGTAGCACCCTCATAGATATGTGCTAGGTTCAGGAACGGACTGACCACTTGGAAACTCGGGCATGCCCGAGGGCCTGGGGTCAGTAGGGGGCCCCATGAGATGCCCCTGGTATCTTTTTCATAGGCTTTCTTGAGTTTGAGCAAGGACACAGGGGCCCCATGATCCCATATTGCCCGGGGGCCCCATGAATTGTCAGTCCACCCCTGGCTAGGTTAGCTAAATTTAGTTCTTTAGCTCTCTTGTAACCAGTGGAGCTGCTTGTGATTACTCTGGTCTGCTCTGAGTTTAACAGGCTATCGGTTTGGCTGCTCCCCTCTGCCTTCAGGATGAATCTGGAAAATAGTAGTCAAATCTACAGCATGAATATTTGTGGTCTCAGCCAATCCCTGGGAGAGGGTGCCAGTTGGTGGTTGGGAGGGAGCATAAATAGTTTGATGCCTGGAGCAGAGGGGAGTTCTTTTCCTAGGAGGAGAGTTTCCCAGCCAGAAGGTTTACTGCCCTTCTAGGCTGCTTAGCGGAATATTTTACTTGCAATCAATGAGGTCCCAGCTGTGCACAGCTGGAGGGCCGATCCTGCTACAAACTCTTTGAAGCTAAAAGGGGGGTTTAATTGGTGATCTGGTCTGGAAGATTCACTGAGGAGATTGTCTGCTAGTGGCTGGAGGGAGGCATCCAAGTACATGGGGACACTGTGAGTACAGACCTAAGTAAGGGATCCTAGTGACTGTTGCTGCTGTTAACCCCTTATGCACTAACAATAAGGCTTACATGGCCTGGAGCATTTCTTATGGTGTCCCAGTGCTGTCCACTCTTTGTCCTATTGCTGAAGGGACTGTTCTAGGAAGTAGCTGCAAAGAGCAGAGTGTTCCCTCAATGCTGTTCACTGTTTGGAGGATCCCACAGCTTCCCTAAGCCCCAACAAGGTTAATCTGCAATAAAAGTTAAGGATGGCAACCTCTAGACTGTTTACTGATCCAGAAGAGTGAATGTTGCTGTTTCCCTAGCCACCGCTACACTTGACGTGTTAATCCAAAGCAATATAAGAATTAGTTCTATCTTGTTACCTAGCATTAAAATGGCCATAGTCATTTCATAATATTTGCCCACAATACAAGTATTAAGTAACACAACAAGAAATATGTAGGCATAATAATAGTGTACAGGGACCTAAAGCTGATCTAAACTGATGAACAACAATGCCATATGTTACAGCTTACCAGTACTTAGATGTGGTGGCTCCTTTCTTCTTTTTTTTTGAGGATTGTATACCTTTTTTTCACCTAGTGGTCCTGCCAGTTACAGAGTGACAACACACACTGTACTGCATTGTCACCATAGCTCAGGACTACAAAACACTGCATCCTCAAATCCATAACTGGAAGAAATTTTTATAGTCCACATAGATAGCTGAGAGCAATGTGACTGACAATAGTGTAGCACAGTCATCCTGCAAATCTGAACATTAACACCCTCATCCTGCTACTGTATATGACCTGTACATTATTATTATTATACAGTATTTATATAGCGCTAAAAGGTTTGCTCAGCGCTGTACATTATAGTGGGGACAGAACATGAGACAATACAGTAACAAAACAAAACACGAGGGGGTCAAGGGCCCTGCTCTTTCGAGCTTACAATTTAGGATCTGCTTAACTTCCTGCATCATCTGTGTATGTCTGCTTTATAAAAAGAGATAATCTGGGGGGTTTTCATACAGTCCTAGAATTTTTATTTGATATGTTATATGACGGAAAGTAAGGAAAAACAGTTTTTTTTCAATGCATTTCATTTTTTTCCTTTTTAGGGCTAGTTCACACCACAATCGCTATGTTCAGTGTGCATTTCCACATAGATTAAATGCATTTTTAATTCCTCTGTATTGCATTTGTAATGTGTTCCAGTGCATTTTTTTTGTTTATGTGCATTCCAGTGTATTTACACACATCTACATGCATTTATACTATATAATCTTAAAACAACATAGTGCAGCGCTTAACAAGGTGAAAAAGTCAATAAAGTAATAATCGAGCATCCACAGTGATTCACTGGAGAAATACGAATTCCCACGACATCCACTCTGTCAGATAACAGAAATGCGCACTCACCAGAAACTCATGGAATATGCGCATGTGTGATCATGCATCACAGGCAGTGGGTACATCAGAGGTTAGGCAGCAGGCATCTCCCTCACGGTGGGTCATCACAGACTTTTTAATCTGGTCCAGGGGTCCCCTTAAGGTCAGCCAGGTGTTCCATACAAAAAACCTCCTCCCAGGATGGCAAAGTGCTTTCTCTGTGGGGATGATAGCTCCAAGAAGGAGCCCCAGAAAACAGATGCCAGAGATAGTGTAGTATTTCCAGAAAAGTAATCTTTTATTCATATAAACAGGTCAGTGTGCATACTAAACATCTGGTGAAAATAAAAATATGCAGCAGTACTGACCCCAGTAATGATGACCGCCGGGCTTCCCTCCCCTCTGATGATGTGCCTGTAGCACGAAAGGCCTAAGGAGGAGCTGTGCAGAGCGTAACGTCATTCCACCGCCGGAGCCACGAGGAAGCCCGGCGGTCATCATTACTGGGGTCAGTACTGCTGCATATCTTTATTTTCATCAGATGTTTAGTATTGACCTGTTTATATGAATAAAGATTACTTTTCTGGAAATACTACACTATCTCTGGCATCTGTTTTCTGGGGCTCCTTCTTGGAGCTATCATCCCCACAGAGAAAGCACTTTGCCATCCTGGGAGGAGGTTTTTTTGTATGGAACACCTGGCTGACCTTAAGGGGACCCCTGGACCAGATTAAAAAGTCTGTGATGACCCACCGTGAGGGAGATGCCTGCTGCCTAACCTCTGATGTACCCACTGCCTGTGATGCATGATCACACATGCGCATATTCCATGCGTTTTCTGGTGAGTGCGCATTTCTGTTATCTGACAGAGTGGATGTCGTGGGAATTCGTATTTCTCCAGTGAATCACTGTGGATGCTCGATTATTACTTTATTGACTTTTTCACCTTGTTAAGCGCTGCACTATGTTGTTTTAAGATTATATTGATATTTTTGAGGCATTGTGGTTTCCTTAAGTGTTCTAGCTGCTGATATTTATGAGAGCGCTCACTATCTTTTATATTAATGCATTTATACATGTTCCAGTGCATTTACATGCATTTGCATACTTTCAGTGCAAAAAAATGCATTCTGTACTTTAAAAAAAAAAAAAAAAACTTGAATTGATCACAGTGGTATGAACAAGGGTGATTGGAGGCTATCTATTGTTTTGTGCATGTATGCAGGATTTAAAAACACACACCTGAGCCACATTTGTTCATGACACGTAACATGCAACAGTCTAATGTCAAATTATGTACATTAATTTTTTGTCTTCAAAACAATAAAAATTATTGAAAAAGAAAAAACACACCTGAAAGCATCAGCAAGTCCTTATAATAACAAAAGAAAGCTTTATCTGTCTCAAAATATGAAATAAATTTGATTTGAGTAAAATGTTGCTTGAGCTAGTAATTGTCTTTCAAACTATTACAGTGCTCACTCGATTGGGGTCAGCTATGGCACGGATCCATTCACCAAACAGCAGTAGCTTAGTTTTTTTCCCCACACACCTGCTTGCTTTAAGAAAGCCCTCTGCTTTTTCCTCAGCAGCCTGCAGATCACCTTTCCTTGCTTTGGTTCATCAGCCAATCAAAGTCCTCTAAGAACAAATCAGACCAGGCCAAAATGGTTGCCACCTGCACTAGAGGCACTCAATAAATTAGCATTGCAAAGTGGTCCCCTGAAAGATGGCTGCTGGACCGCTGTATTAATGCATTATTCAGTTTAACCTTGTCTACACTGCAGAAGGATAATACAGCAGCAACAAAAGAAGAAGTTCTGGAGCAGTTATCAGCTAAAGTTCAGGCTACATCTGTCAGGGCTCCCAGGTATGACCAGAGGTGTGTGACTGAAGCAGGGAAACGCAGACCTCAGATATGTTATAAACAATATAATTTATTAACACTAACAGTACAAACATAAACGCAGTGCAATACTAAAACATAATACAGTGCAACCAAACCAAACCAACCACCCACAGATAACAGTACATACAAGCAAGCGTCGTCAGGCAGGCCGGGTCAATATCAATTGGGCAGGTAGGTACAGGGGGAGCAAGCGGAGAATGGTCGGGGTCACAGGCCAGGTTCAGCAGGTAGCAAGCAGCGTAGTACAGAGGGTCAGACAGAGGGATGGTCAGGGTCACAAGCCAGGATCAGAGCAGGAGAAGTCAGCAAAGGAACAGAAACAGGATGCAGGACAGATACAGGGCCCAGGACAAACACAACACCAAGGCCCAGTCTGCAAGTCTGGCCATCCCTTAAATACCCCAGTATCATCAGTTCCAGGTGTTAGCTGGCTGAAAGGTTGAGTCTCTGATTGCTGGGAGCACCCGCTGGCCAGCCCTGGTACTGCAGATCAAAAGGCAGGTGAGTCCCACCATTGCTGGCCAGTCCATTCCTAACAACATCACTATAAATGTGGGTAGGAATGAAACATACTTTTGTTGTATAGGGGTCTTTAACCACTTACCGTCCACCCTATAGTAGAAATACTGCTACAGGGCAGCACGGGTGTGTGTGTATATACATGATTTTGCATTTCAGGGTAGGGGGCGCGTGCGAGTGAGCCATGAGCACGCCCTACCTGCACTGCCGATCACGGCCCCGGGTGTCCCTCACTGGGTGCCAGCCATTGATTACCCACCGGCGCACGGTGATTGCCGAGGATCACCGACAGGGAGGAGGCTGCTTTGTTTACCAACAGTCCTCCTCCCTGTCAGCTTGGGCACACTGCACTGGATGGCTGAGCAGAGCCATCCAGAGCAATGTGCTTTACAGTGAAGCACACCCACCCCCCAGTAAAATACTCCCAGCACACAGTTAACCCTTTGATCACCCCTCATTGTTAACCCCTTCCTGCCCAGTGCCATTAGCACAGTGTCAGTGCTTTTTTTTTCTTTTTTTTTCTTGACACTGTATTGGTGTCACTGGGGATGTCAGTGACACCAAGTCAGTTCCCCCCAGTGTCAGAATGTCCCCCGCAGTCCCGGTATAAGTCGCTGATCGCAGCCATTATTAGAAAAAAAAATTCCAGTACCTATACCGCCATTTGTAAATGCTATAACCTTCATGTAAACCAATTCATTTACACGTATTGGGATTTTTTTTAGCAAAGACATGTCGCTGAATACATTTTGACCTAAATTTATGATGAAATTTGATTTTTTAACATTTTTTTTACTGGATATGTTTAACTGCTTCTGCGCTGCCCTATAGTAGAAATACTGCAACAGGGCGGCACGGGTGCGCAAAATCAAGTATATATATACGTGATTTATGCTCCCACGGTTTTTGCACCCCTCCCAGATAGCATCAGATTGCCCGTCAGTACACCAGTCATCACATAACTCCTTGATTGCCAGGAACACGCTCACATACACAATAAACCTCCATTGCTACTATAGTATCTGAACAGATCAATATCTTTGATCAGATCAGCACTATACCATCGTTCACATTAGTATAGTGTCCCCAAAAATGCAGCGTTAGCGGGATCATGCCTGGCACCTGCCAGCACCTGCATTTAGCCCCTATGCTAACCTATCCCCCTTCTCTCCCAACAAGTGCAGTGTCAGTACGTCACTGTCACTAGATACATTGCACACAAAACTGCAGTGTTCGCAGAATCAGGCCTGATCTCTGTTAGCACTTGCCGGTAAATTTTTTTGTAGCGGTTCAAGCAGTCCCTGACAGCCAGGTGCTTTGTTGCAAGTCCCATAAGTGCAGTACAAGCTGGTGCAGTGGCGAGCACAAGTAGTGTCCGGCAGCCACCAAGAATTTGCAAACAGGCCTGTACAGCCCCTAGTAATGTGTGTTTTATGCATTTCAATGACAATACACTCTGTTGTCCTCGGGGTGACCCTGAATTTGACCGGCTCCACAAAATTTGGCCCCTCGTAAATCACCTTAACCAAAAAAATTTGCGGATGTCTATACTCCCCAGCAAAACATCTGCGTTGATGAGTCCCTCATTAATTTTTCTGGCCGCCTTCTATTCAAACAATTTCTCCCCAGCAAGCGTGCCAGATATGGGGTCAAGATGTAGAAGACCTGTGAGAAGGCAACAGGCTATACATATAAGTATCAGATTTACGAGGGAAAAGATAGTCACATGGAGCCCCCCGGATGCCCAGACTGGGGAGCAGTGGCAAGATAGTTTGGGACTTGGTGTCATCCTTTTTCCATATGGGGTACCACTTATACATGGACAATTTTTATTCAAGAGTGCCAGTATTTAGACATTTGTACAATCTTGGAATTGGCGCTTGTGGCACCGTGTGACCTAATCGCCGGGGTTTCCCCCAACAGATTGTAAATACCCATCTTAGAAAGGGGGAAAAAGCCTGCTTGAGAAATGAGGATGCCATTCAGCTGGAGCACTGACTTGTTTATTCTGACAGTAACAGGGTCTTGCTCTCAGAATATACATAGGTCAGTGTAGCCCTCGAACCCCTCGTGTATCGCATTGTATTGTTACTGTACTGTCTCATGTACTGTCTCCCATTATAATGTACAGTGCTGAGCAAACTTTTGGCACTATATAAATACTGTATAATAATAATAATAATAGGCAGCGCTGTTGATTTTCCATCCACACTTAAAAAAAGAGCATATATGCCAAAGCATGGGGGCCTGGGGTAACCAGTAGGTGGATGGCCCCTATGCTTCCGCATGTATACTTTAGAATATTTTTTGGCACAGTAGAAGTGGGTGGATGCAGGGCGGTATATTTTAACAGTGGGCATACCACACACTTTTTCTGGCAGAGATTTTTTCTCTGTTTTCCATTCAGCCCACTTAAAAAAAAAGAACATAGCATATACACCCAACAAGGACCAGCAACATACTAGTACATCACTGGACAGGCACCAAAAGAAGTGGGTGGATGCAGGGTGGTATATTCTAACGGTGGGCATACCACACACTTTTTCTGGCAGAGATTTCTTCTCTTTTTTTCATTCAGCCCACATAAAAAAAGGAACATAGCATATACACCCAACAAGGACCAGCGACGTACTGGTACATCACTGGACTTTTAATGGTTATACCAGGATGATGCCTACAGCTGCAGGCATCATCCTGGTATCGCTTTTTTCAGCCGATGATTGGCTTTCATGTGAAAACAATCCTAGTAGCTAATTAGCTGCAGGATTGCTTTTACAAGCAGTGGGGAGATGATGCTCCTGCTGCCTTCCACGGCCTTCTCGGGCAGTCCCGTGACATCTGGGGAGCGTGAAAATGCAGCCGGTGTTTCTGCCAGCTGACCATAAAACTGATTGTAGACCAGAATGGTGCCAATCATCTCTATAATCTAAGAAATCGTAAGCTACGAGCATTTCATCACTTCAGTTTTGCAGGGGAGGTCAGGGTGGGTCTGAACCCTCCCCAGAGGAGAGTTGCCAACCATCCTTGCAGGCTGCAGCCATCGAAATTTGGTCTAGGCAGTGAGAAGAACACAGCAGTGGAAACACATTGTTGGGAACACAGCGACAGTGGGAAGAGGGGGGGCAGAAAGAAAACCATTATGTGCAGCGGGGGAGGTGGTGAGCAGTGCTGGGGCTAGGGGTGAGTGGAAGGGGCAGTGGTGGTTGTGGTGACAAGCAGTGATCTCCTGTATGGCTTTCAATAAAGCAGCTAAAAGCCGCAGGAGGGAGAGCAGGAGACTCGGTTCCAGCTGCTTCATTGGAAGCCATACAGTAGATTGCTGCTTGTCACCACAACCACCGACGCCCCTCCAACACACCCCAGCCACAGAGCTGCTCGCCGCCTCCACCGCTGCACAGAACGGTTTTCTTTCTGTCCCCCCTCCCTACCACTGCCCCTGTGTTCCCATCGCTGTGTTCCCACAGCTGTGTTGTTCTCACTGCCCAGCAGCCCAGCCCCTCTCTCCATCCTCCGCACCAATAGGAGAAGAGGGGAGAGAGGCTGGATCTGCTCTGTCTCCCCCCCGTGCCCTCCTACACCTCCTCTGAAGCTGCACTGACTGGAGTGTGGGCGGAAACTGAAAACAGCAGCCGACAGCCACAGCTCTGATGCTTCTGAAGGAGTCATGGTGAGTTTGACCTAACCTTCCTTCCATTCTTCCACCCCCCCTCCCTTCCATCCTTCCACCTCCCCCTCCCTTCCTTCCACCCCCCCTTGCTTCCATCCTCCCACCCCCCTCACTTCCTTCCACCCCCCTTCCTTCCATACTTCCACCCCCCCTCCCTTCTTTCCATCCTTCCACCCCCCTTCCTCCTACAAACCTTTTTTTCTTCCACCTACCCACCCCTCCCTTCCTTCCACCCTTCCTTCTACCCACCCATCCCTCCATTCCTCCCACCCCTCACTTCCTTCCTTCCACCCACCCCTTCCTTATTCCCTTCCTTCCACCCACCCCTTCCTCCCTTCCTTCCACCTCCTCCCCTTCCACCCACCCCCCCCTCCCCACCCACCCACCCTTCCCTTCCTTCCTTCCTCCCACCCCTTCGTTCCTCCCTTCCTTTCACCCACCCACCCCTCCCTTCCTTCCATTCATCCAACTCGATCCTTCCACCCACCCCTCCCTTCCTTCCTTCCACACACCCCTCCCTTCCATCCAACTCTTCTTTCCTTCCTTCCATCCACCCCCCTTCCTTCCTTCCTTCCTTCCTTCCTTCCTTCCTTTCACCCACCCCTCCCTTCCATCCAACTCTTCTTTTCTTCCTTCCATCCACCACTTTCTTCCTTCCACCCACCCTTCCTTTCACCCACCCACCCACCCACCCCTTCCTTCTTTCCTTCCTTTCTTCCACCCCTTTTGAGTACTATGTACTATGTGACATAAAAAACTGCAGCACCCACCATTTTATTCACTAGGCTGTCTGCTTTAAAAAATATATAATGTTTGGGGTTTCAAAGTAATTTCCTAGCAACAAATATAGATTTTTTTAATGTGAACAAAAAGTGTCAGAAAAGGCTTGGTCGTCAGGTGGTTAGAAGAGTGAGCGGTGTGGCATAAACTACTAATGCTGGGCATAAAATGCCCCCACCCCCACAACAACCCCTTTTTGGAAAGTAGACACGCCAAACTATTTGCTGAGAGGCATGTTGAGTCAATAGAAGAATTTATTTTTTTACAAGTTTTTGGAAAATTACTAACATTTTTACACAAAATTGTCATTTAAATGATTTATTGCTCACACATGCCATCGGTATATGTGGAATTACTCCCCAAAATACATCCTGCTTCTTCTCTGAGTATATACCACATGTGAGAGACTTTTTGGCAGTCCAGCCAAGTACAGGACCCCAAAATCCAATAAGCACCTTCAGGCTTCTAAAGGGCTTTATTTCCTCATTACACTTCCTGACTACCTATCACAGTTTCAGAGGCCCTGAAATGCCAGGATAGCACTAAACCCACCCAAATTACCCCTTTTTGGAAAGGAATTTGATAAGAAGCATGGTGAGTATTTTGCAGATCTCGTTTGTTGCCACAGATTTTTGGAAAATGAAGAAAGAAAACAAAAACATATTTTTTCTTTACTTTTTTTATATTTCAAAACCTTGTGAGAAAAAATGAGATCTGTAAAATACTCACCATGCCTCTTTTTAAATTCCTTGGGGTGTCTACTTTCCAAAAAGGGGTCATTTGGAGGGGTTTGGTGCTATCCTGGCATTTCAGGGCCTCCGAAACTGTGATAGGTAGTGAGGAAGTGAAATGAGCTAGTTACCTTCAGGCTTTCAAAGTGGTCATTGGATTTCAGGCTCCTGTATGTGGCTAGGCTTCCAAAGTCTCACACATGTGGTATCCCCATACTTGGTAGAAGTAGCAGAATGTATTTTGGGGTGTGATTCCACATATACCCATGGCTTGTGTGAGCAATATATCATTTAAATGATAACTTTATGTAAAAAAAAAAGTTTTTGTCATTTTCCAAAAACTTGTGGAAAAAAAATAAATCTTCCATGGACTCAATATGCCTCTCAGCAGATAGCTTAGGGTGTCTACTTTCCAAAACGGGGTCATTTGGG